TCCCTGGGTCTTCCTCGCGGTGTGTCTGTTGGCACAAGGCTGTTCTGCCACATGCCCCACCCCATAACCTTCCATCTGTGGCCGCTCCTTGTGAGACCCTAAACTCAATGACCTCCTCCTGTCCTCTCTCCTCTCCACAAAGCTGTTCTTATCGAGACAGTCAGTCTGTTTCCCAGTTCCCAAGGCGAATCCAAAGTCCTCCACTGGCCCACCCACCTCTCACTGACTCCTCCCTCACCCTCCGAACAGGTCAAACGCCCCCAACCAGAGGCTCCCCTGCCCTTTCTATAAGCAGGAGCTTTTCTCAGGTCCGGCTACAGGTACACACCCAAGACCTCACCGCAGGAGTGAGAGCCGAGGGCGGAGATGGCTTAAGTTCTTTTGTCAAAGCCTGCCCTGACTCACCAAGGCGGTCGGGCAATGTGCGCAATGATTACAGAAACACAGAAATAAGGGGTTGGGGTGGTGGCTCAAGCCTGTTATCCCAGCACTTTGGGAGGCCGAGGCAGGTGGGAGCGCTTGAGGTCAGGAGTTCGAGACCAACCTGACCAACATGGTGAAACCCCATCTCTACTAAAGATACAAAAAAAAAAAAAAAAGGTGGGCATGGTGGCACATGTCTATAATCCCAACTACTTGGGAGACTGGGACAGGAAAATCACTTGAACCCGGGAGGCAGAGGTTGCAGTGAGCCCAGATCAAGCCACTGCACTCCAGGCTGGGCAACAGAGCGAGACTCCATCTCAACGTCCCCCACCCGCCCCGCCACACACACAAACAAAATCTTAATCGTAGTAAGACACAGCTGAAAAGATATGACGGAATGACTCCCCGAGGCTACTGGATGCCACTCCTTCAATCATTTTCCATTCAGAAAACTTCAGATCAGATCATTTTACATATGCATTAAGACAAGGGGTCCTATATTAATGAATCTTCTCCACAAAAATCCTGGTCAAAGTCAGAAAACAATCCCACCGGACTCTGCATCTGATGGTTGAGAAACCTGGAGAAGTGGAGAAGCTGATCTGCAGGATTTGCAAACCGCGGCACCACTTGTGGGGACCTCGCAGCACCGCGCTCCCCGTGAGAGGTCGAGCCTCACTGAGACCCACACAGTCAGATCTGCACCTCCAAAGGCTCCCAGGCGCTCTAAGTACACGGAAGCTGGGAAGACAGCAAATGGGCCCCGGGTTGGGGGGCCCAGCACAGTCCAGCCTTTTCTTTGCCTCTGAAGACTTTCACTGTGGATGTGTGTTAGGAAGGGGAGTGAAGAAAGAGACAGGGAGAGAAGATAGAGACTGAGTGATGCCTCCATTCTCTGTAGAGAAAAACACCGAGGTCTCTATCTCAGCACTCGAGACAGTGGGCCAATGCGACTTATTAAGTCTCTGCCTCTCTCAGTGCTCTGATCTGCCATGTGTCTAGCTGCCTCTTCCATCCTGGACAAGCACAATGACTGTAATTCCAGTACTGTAGAGTTGGGGTGAAGATGCAGAGAACGGAGGAGTGGGGAGGGAAACGGCAGCCTCTGGGCAGCTACTCTCTAATAAACACGAACACAACACCAGCAGTGGCTTGTAGAAAAGAAACATGTAAATGCAAACCCAACTACTGACATGGCCCTCTGTTCCATATTCACCCGCACGTTCTCTAACAGAAACGCAACTGTGAACACATGCACCTGGTATCCTGACATTTGCCCTGACCAGGTTATACAAGATCTTCATCTTTCTAATTTTAATTGCTTCTGACGGCCCATCCGACTGGTCGAGCTTATTTAAAGAGCCCTGATTCTCCCTGATAAAAGGTTGGAGTCCTGTATCAAAAGCTTTTAGTTTTCTGTAACCAAGGGGGAAAACATGCTTCTTTTGAAAGATGACAAAAATGTCTAGTCAAGGGTCATCCGAGTATGGCACACAAGGTGGTCTGCATTCATAGAAAATGATGCCATCATATAAATTCCACTGTGTGACTTGGTGACACCATCACTCATCATCTGCCTCCCAGACCCAGTAAGTTTTGCAAAATTAATTACTGCACTTTACACTGAAAAGATCCCATCAAAGAATGTGTGTGCACAGGATGGTGAGGGGCGCCGGAGCTGTGTGAGGAGAAATGGCACTGTTCTCAGTTTCCTCTTCCATCCTACTGGTCTCTGAAGCATTGCTTCGGAGATTTTCAATTTTATCTTATAATTAAATAATATGAACTCTACTGGGGGAAGAAAAGCAGCCCATCACATTGGTATTAAGCCTTAATATCATTTTTGCCATCTTGACTCCTATCGCTATAAAAAGTCATTTTCTGTTCCCCTCAATAAACTACCCAAGGAATATTGCTTTGCATACCAAAGGTGCTCATGTGGGCTCAAGCCTGGTGTCCAATAAATATGTGTCATTGACCTAATGCATGTCCAGTCAATTGAAACTCACTTGACTTCGGTTTTTAGGTTGTAATCTTGTTCTAATGAAGTTAATGCATTGACCCGAGAGGATATTGGAAACTTTTGATGAGAAGGTTGAATTCTCTAAAGGATCATGAATGAAGAAGACAGCTAGAAACCCTGGCTTCCCTGCTCCTCAGTGGAGATTCCAGGCGGGAGGCAGGCAGCAAACGCTATGCTTCCTTAAGCCAAGCCAGGCGTGGTGCTGGGCGAGATGGACACTGCGGAAGACACAGCACGCAGCCCCAGCACCTGCAGCAGCCACAGGGCCTGGCCACACCAGGGAGTCAGAATCAGGAAGCCGGTACACTGGCATCCCTTTGCTCATGTGTAAAGTGGGGATGTCAGTGCCCAGGATCACTGAGGTCTGCCACATAACAGAGTCACTAAACTAGCTATTCTCACTAGATATCGGGAAAGGTTGAAGCTTACTGTTATCAGAACTTTCTATAAATACTGTATTGATGTTCACGCCACCACAGGCAAAAGGACGCCGCTGCATCCAGCCCACCCTAAGAATGCTCCTGACTTCCCAGTACACTCAGCTCCACCAGGTACCAGTTCTGCAGAAGCCACAACCTGTGACGGAAGACAATGGAGTCACTTGGTGTGTGGCACAGCGTGATGGGCGGTGGTACTTAGTCATGGTCAGTCCGCGATCCAGAGCTGTGGAGCTTATTTTGCCATGAAAATCAATGCTTCAGATATGTCTTGACAACAGAAGATACCCAAAGAAGCAGGGAAAAAAAAAAATAAAAACAAACCCAGAAATGAGACAGAAGATACCAAAGAAGGAAAAAAAAAAAAACAAAAACAAAAAACTTAGCCTGAGAAATACTTTCTTCATTCAAGGCCTGGGAGTCAGGAATACAGGAAAGATATTTTCTAATTTTATATTATAATTAAATAATATGAACTCTACTGGGAGGAGAAAAGCAGCCCACTCCGCGTTGGTATTAAGCCTTAATATCATTTTGCCACCTTGACTCCTATCTATAAAAGTTATTTTCTTTGCTCCCCTTTACAAAAACCACCCAAAGAATATCTGCGTAATTTGAGCAAGTTGGGTTTTGCTCACTTTGAGCATTAACTAGTAACAAGGAGCTTCCACCAAGAAAGGCCCTGAAAAGCATGGTGGAGGCCTGACATGACGGCTCAGGGTCTGGGTAATCTGAGTTTTGGAAAGCCAAGGCAGAGGTCACTAGAGGAGGGTGCCAGGAGTTCAAGACCAGTCTCAGCAGCATAGTGAGATCCTGTCTCTACAAATAATAATAACAATTAGCTTGTCATGATGTTGCATTCTGTCTTCCCTGCTACTCAGAAGGTTGAGGCAGGAGGATCACTTGAGCCCAGGAGTTTGAGGTTGCAGTGAGTTGTAACGGCACCACTACACTCCAGCCCAAGTGACAGAGCGCCAGACATAAGTACTTCGTGGTCTAAGGGAGAGTACAATATTTGGAATTAGATCTGTTTTGCTCCTACCACACCCGTATGCACCTCACTCCTTACCTAAGTTATTTTTCTTTGTGAGTCTTTTTCTCCCCACTTCCAAAATGAGGGCATGCCTCTCTTGGGACCATGTATCTAGGCTTGGAGATAAGAATTGTAAAGCTCCTAGTATACAAAATATTTTCAACAAATGGTAGCTATGGTCATTTTAATATATTGAATTGAAATTTCTCATAATTTAACATCTGACAGATAATTCCCTGAAATTGATACTTGAATGTGAATGTGTTCTCTGACCTCCAGCTACAGGCAATAGTCTTCTATGTCAGGGAAAATCAAGTACTAATATAGAATCAGAATAAAATGGCAAAAAGAATGGGGGCACAACAGATAAATTTTCGAGGAATAACTTACTTAAAGGATTTGTAACCCAGGGCAGCCAAGACCAGGCCCTCTAAGCACATCTGGAGGTGAACTTCCTTAAAAGAAATGGGTCCAAATGCTCCAACAGGTTCAAGATCATACTGAAGGGTAAAGCCTTTACAGAGTTTACAAAAAAAATTTTGACTTCGGCTCTGCCAGGGAAAGAAAGCCCAGGCTATCCCGCCATGGCGGGCTTTCCCAGGGACAGCCCAGGTGTGACCCATGTGGGCTCAAGGCCACCGTATTTGATGCCACCCGCAGAGCTGAGAGCAGCTTGTCTCCCATTAACCTCGAGGCTGTACCAAACCAAGCCACTGTGCTCCCACATAATACTGGTTTCCAAAGTAATTCCTTTTTTCCCCAGAGAGAAGAGAGGCGGGACTTACTAACCTCCCATATGTGTAACTCCTCCCAGGTGGCAAAACCAGGGCAACAGAGAACACGGAGATTCTGCCAATGTATCTTACCCTCACGTACCTGTACACAAACTCCCAAGTGATTTAGCAAGCTTTTTTGGACAAGTGGAGCTCAAAAGAATGTGACCCGATAAATACTTTCCAATACATACAGCATCTTAATGTGTTTTTCTTTCTTTTTTTTATTTTTGTAGACACAGAGTCTCATTATGTGGTCCAGGCTGCTCTGGAACTCCTGGGCCTGCGACCCTCCTGCCTCAGCCTCCCGAAAGCACTCGCATGACAAGCATGAGCCACTGCAGACCCACAGCACTTAAATTCCAAAATCACCTTGAAACCCTGACCTTCCACCTGCCCTGGTGGCTTCCAGAGGTCAGTTCCTCTTCCCGTACTCAAAGGGGTTTCTTTGTCTTTCGCTGCCCAGGCGCCTACCCAGGCTCTGCTTTTGAAGGGCTTTGACGGAGAAGCCACCTGGGTCCTATTAGACCTCAAGGCGGCTCCATTCGTACTCAGACATCTCCGCCGGTTTAAGTCATCGCTGGCCAGGTTATTTCCACTTCATTCTCCTAATTTCTCCAATCCCATCCTCTGCTGCATCACCTTTTCTTTCTCTGAGAACCCAACCCTGCAGGAGGAACGCTGATGCTGGGGTCCTTTAACTAGGAATGCTAACGCCAGAGCACTTCTCGGGCGCTGGGCGGGCTGGAGCCGGGCGGGCCTGGCGCTGCCACTGGTGTCCATGTGAGGGGGGGCTCAGGGAGGCTGCGCTGCTTGGCTCGGGAGCGCCGCGGCGTGACTGATGCTCAGGCCAGCGCATGGAGACACGGGCCGGGCATCGCCAGGCCACAAGGGATACAGCGCCATCACGCCTAACATGCAGCACCTGCAGCGCCCGAGCGCCAAGGGCGAAGGGAAGGTCACTGACCGGTGGCGGGCCCACCTCGCTTCCATCCTGTGCAGTGGCGCGGTCCCGAAATGGAGAATCACATTCCGCGCCTTTCCACGCACTGCGGTGCAGGAGGAACCGGAAAATAAAAATCAAAACCCAGCCCCGGGCGCGCTGGGCCGCGTCTCCAGCCTCTGCGCCACTAAGGCTCCCAGGTGGCGTTCCCGCTCTGGGAAGCACCATCTACCCGCCAGGGGCTGCTGCTTCGGGCGCTCCATCACCGGGGCACCGGCGCCTCACGTGCACCCGGGGCTCAGTGTGTGCCCCACCACCTCTCCGGCTCTTCAATGTTAAATGTCCTCCTGGCGCGCCCGCGTCGTGGACCCGGCAGACCGGGTCCTCCTGGAGAGCCGCTTCCATTGCAGGCAGAGGGAAACCTTGTTGCGCCGCGTGCCGCTGACGTCCCGAGTCCCCGCTTCCTGGTCCTCTCGTCCGCGGAGGGCCTGCGGGGAGGGCCTGGGACCCATTTTAAGTTTTCGGTTTTTCTCAACGAGCCGAAAGGCAACAGCACATGCGAGCGCAGGAACCCATTTTTAAAATCTCCAGCGGAAACGCGAGGTTGCCGGACCGCCTCGGAGACGCCAGGCGGGAACCCAGAGCACTCCTTCCGCGTCCCGCATTGCAGCACAGGACCTCGCCCACGCCGCGCGGGGCACGAGGCGACAGAGGCGCGGGGACCCGCATTTGCTTTCCTCGACATGCCGGGGGCGGCAGGGCGGAGTTGAAGGGCGGGGGCCACTTAGGAAGTGATCGCGCTGAACATGTGGCCGGGCGGCCCGGCCGGGTCCTACAGCTCAGAGGCAGAACGACTTCGAGGGTCTCCAGGCGACCCCCTCAACAGCTCAATTTAAAACATAAACCGAGGGGGTGGGAAAGCTCACCATCTTCTCCGGATGGAGGTTCCCTACCGCCATGTCCCTTCCTCCTCCGCCCCACTCCGGCAGCGACCCGGGGCTGCCTGCCGGGCTCACCCGCATGCGCCTTGTTCACGCTGCCGCGCACGGGCTTCTCCCCGTTTCTTCCCATCAAGCTTCGCTCTTTCTCTCGTTTTCCATCGCTCCTCCACCTTTCCTCGTCCTCTCGTCGCTTCCCCTCTTCTCCCATCCCCAAATCCCCTTCGCCTTGTTCTCTCCCGGAGCCTGTCCGCTCCCTCCCTCGCCGCCGGGAGGGAGGTGGCAGACCTGGAGTATCCTCGCCTCTGGTCAGCACGCCGATCGCCTTGGCCGGCTCCCGGAGAGGTGCTCCAGGAATCTTCCGCAAGGAGCCCTTAGGGGCCTGGGAGTCGTCAGTAACCATGGCGAGGAGGTCGAGAGGAGCCGCCAGTTCCCCGGAAAGAGCAGCAGTGGCTGGACCCTGCCTGCGCCCGCGGGACGGAATTCAGTTGCCCCGCCCCGCCCCAGGGCCACGGCGGTGACGGGCGGGCCCGAGCGCACGGGAGGGCTGCGGGAGCGGGGGCGTGGCTAGGTGCAGTGGGGAAGGGGCAGGTGCGGCGGGTGCGGGAGTGGTGGTGGAGCACCTACGCCGGGGTCGTCGTAGTGGGGCCGTGCTAGCGGTGAGGTGGGCCGCAGATCGTGGGGATAGCGCCACAGGTAGGCGGGGTTCCTTGCGGTGGGGCTGCGTCTGGTGCTCGAGACTCGCGGGTGGGCTGGAAGGTTCTGGTTGGGGACTCTAGAGATGCCTGAGTGCCACAGGTGGGGCAGGGGAAGCGTCCGGGAGGGAGACCACAGGGGCGGGGGTCACATCGTTTGGGGCGCTAGGGTGGGGCGGATAGAACGCGGGAGCATCTCCCGGCCGGGGTGAGGGAGACCTTGCGGGCGCGAACGTCTGGCGGGGGAAGCCCTGCACTTGCGGGAGCGCCGATGGCGGGGCGGGGTGGAATTGGGGCGTGGAGACCCCACCTGGATGCGGAAGTTCGCAGCAGGCCCGCTGCTCCGGCGGTTGTTGGCGCAGAGCCTGCTGCGCGCACAGCTTCTAAAGGTTGCCGGCAGTGGATTCCTCCTGGGGCTGCTGGAGCTCGGGCGCAAGCCCGACCTTCTCGCCTCTCAGGTATTCTCTGCAGTCTGAGTCGGAAGGACGAACGGAGTATAGATCCTCCAGGTGGTGGGAAAACTGAGCGCGGCGGGCTTAGCTATGACGAAGCTGCGATTTCACCACGGGGCTGTGGCGTCCACTGGTTCCTGCTAATCCCACTGTATTATAAGGTGGGAGAGTCAGCTTGCATAGTGAAACCAAAGAAGGGTGAGATGGGAGAGTGAGAGTGAGAAACCAAGAGAGTGAGACACACACACACACACACACACAATAAGTCACACACACAAACACACAGAGAGAGAGAGGGAGAGTGAGAGAGACAGAGAGAGACAGAAAAGCCAGAGAAGCAGAGACACAGAGAGACATAGAAAGATAGAGAAAGATGAGGGGAAGAGAGAAACAGAGACACAGAGTCTTTAAAAAGAGACACAGAGAGACAGAGCAACCAGGGGAGAGAGACACAGAGGAGAAACAGAGACAATTTAAACCAAAAGAGAAAAACAGACCAGAAAGAAAACAACTAGTAGAGCTCGAACTGCGACATGTGGCATCAGTCTCCATAGTCTCGGTTTGCTTCCTGGGTTTGTGACATGGTCAGAGTCCTTGTCTTTTATTTCTAACACAAGTTGTTAAAGTTGGAAGTGAGTGTGAAATTGATAGCCTTTAGTCTTCTTATTCTTTCACTAGATGAAAGTGAATTATCTTCAGCAAGGTGGGTGCAGGTCCCTCGGGTCACTGTGAACAGGTTGCCTCCTTGTGGGCAGCCAAGTCTCGTCATCACTGGGACAGAGCCCAGGACACTTCCCCTGGCTGGCCAGCCTTTCCTAGAACCCCACACACACTGCAAATGATGGAGTCCAGATCTATACCATAAAGAAACGAGGGTGGTTACAGAAAGCACCACGATCTCAGCTGAGTGGCTCTGAGCACCCCAACGTTGGGGGCACTGGTACAGGTTGGGCAGCTCAGGCTGTGCCCAGCAGGAGGCCGCCTCAACTGCTGCGGCTCCACCCTGAGAGTGTGGGCTCCTCCCCAGCGCGGTTAAAGCATCGTGTGTCCACCTGTGCAGTGACTGGTCCCAGTGGCCCTGGAGGGCTGAAACTCCTGTCCCGCCACTGGTCCAGGGCATCCGTTTCCCTTCCTGCAGTTCCTGTGTCTGTGTGTCTGTGGGGCTCTGATCCGTGCTCCAGGACCATGGCTGAGGACAAGTTCACCCGCTTTGAGCTGCCCGACCTTGCTCCCAGGATCCTCGCTGTGTGGCTCTGGACAGCCTCCTGTCCTCAGGGAGATGGATCTTCACAGTCACTTGGGGCCATGAGGAGAATTCTTTTGATTAGGACTCCACCCTCGGGTAGCTGCTCAAAGCCCTGTGTGGGGCCACCCTGTGTCTCCACCAGTTCCTTTGCTCTGTGCTCCCCCCCACTGTCACATCGCCAGCCTTTATTTCCTTTTCCTTGGACCCAGACAGCGAATGCTCCGCTGGTCTTGGCAGCCTTCTAGTCTGTCCTCAAATCACTTCCTGACGGACAGCCCTGACTAGCCATCAACGCGTGACCAAACCCCACAAAATAGAAACCCAACTTTCCTATTAAGCTGTACAGAGCTGTCCCAGCCCCACTTCCCACAGGCTGGCTCTATTCGCCATGGGATCCATGGTTCTCACCTAAGCTGGGGTGCCCCTGGCATCTGGTGGGGAGTGTCAGGATGTCCCTCCAGGCCCAGTACATCCCCCAGCTGGTGGCCGGCAGACAGCAGCACCCAACCTGATGTCCCTGTGGCTTCTGGTTCCCCGAGGCTGGCTGTGCTTTGCTGCCTCTACATGCTCTCAGACGGTGCCCTCTTCCACCTTCACTGGTTAGTGTTCCATCCATTAGAGCTCAGCACTGCCTCCCGGCAATGCAGCCCCTTTCTCCTGCCTGCCGTCTGCCTGTGCCCCGCGGTCTGTACCGTGTCCTCACGGACCGATCAGGAGCGAGGCTCAGGAATGGAGAGGTTCCTGCTTGTGTCTGCTTGTGTCTCTGTCCCGCCTTCTCTGGACCTGGCACCGTGGCTCTGCCGACAGAGGTTCTGGGTTGATTGTCAGTGAAGCAGACAATCTATATGGCTCTAAATGGCTGTGAACATGCTTGATTGGGTTATTTTTAAAATAATTGTATATGTAAACATTTGAGTGTGACACAGGTGGATTTTTGGGCTAATGGTCTTGTTCTTCAGGGAATAACCACAGGCCCATCCACAAGGACCATTTCCACATTCTATGGAACGCTGTTCTACCTGGTTAATTTTCAACTGTTATCTCAGCCTGAGAGGTAGGTCAGCATGTGACGAAGTTCACTGGTTTAATCCTAATTGTTCTTTAGAGCTGCACCTTCTCGCTTCCTTGGTTAGGTAGGGG